GCCTTTTTGAGAAATTGCTTTGGAGCACTTCGAGAGTACTTCTCTCCATCTCTTTCAACCACTGTGGTCTAATGAAAGAGAGAAGTCGCTCGAAAACGCCATTATCCTTGTTGCCCCTTTTCCCCCCCGACGAATATTACGAGTCGGTCGACAAATGGCACGTGAGTCATCGTTAGAGCAATCAAACAGCAAGTACCACAAATTTCTCCGATGTACGCGCGGATGTTCGAGACTTTGATGTATATAGAGGAAACGGGCGCAACAAAAGTGAGACGCTGATCGCTGATTTATCGGGTGAGCCAGTGGCAACGGCCTTGGACTCGTCGACGACGACGGCTGGCGCAACGCGTCTCCAACCCCCCCTGGACTTGACGTATCTTCCACTCTCTTGCTTTCTTATACACTTTTTTCTTTTTTGTTTCTTTTTCTTTTCTTTTCTTTTTTTTATTTTTGTTTTTTTTTTTTTTCTTTTTTTTGGCACTCGAAATTTCTTCATTACTCACGTACCATGGTACATTTAACTCCTCAATCAAATAAAAGCTCATTTAAAATATGTTTTTTGTGCATAACTTATTTATAAGTATTTTTAAATTCCTAACACCCAGACTTTCTACGGTGTGGAATGTTGTACGAAATCTTCTAAANTTTTTGTTTTTGATTTTTGTTTTTTTTTTTTTTCTTTTTTTTGGCACTCGAAATTTCTTCATTACTCACGTACCATGGCACTTGCGAAAGAATTCGTTCTCGCATGATTATAATGGGCCCCACGAGGCGTGTACGCCGAGGAGCGAAAGAGAGAGTTTTCGTTTGATGGACTCTTTCGATCGTTAGAACCGCCAGCCGATAGTAATGAGAACCTCATGACTGAGATGTGTTCTGGAACTTTCGGATTAGCTGATCATTGTTTCGTCATGAATCCACGTAATGCTTCAGTTTTTGCAGGTACCCTCGGATGACGGTGCTATATCGCGAATCAAGTGCAAAATCGTTTTCATTTTACTTTACGTGATCAATGTTTGGTCTTAAATTTTTCATAGGTAGGTTTCTGGCTGCGTTTGCAATCATGAGAGTTCGTTTTAAACGGTAAATTGAGCTACGAGTGTTAAGACCCAAGCTCCTTCGGTTTTTCCTTTATCAGTGTACTCTATTGAACTGAAATTCTGAAATATTAAAAATGTTGTGGTTAGAAGTAAGTTAGCAAAAGTTAATTGAAAAATCAGTTAATAACGTTACATTTCAATTCACTGACTTTGCAGTAAAAGTATCCTTCACTTGGGAGATTAGTAGATTTTTCTTACTTATGCTCCCCAAGAGTAAAATACAACCAAGTACAGTAACAGTGTTGTTTTTTTCCAATAATCATAATTCTCTTTTCACAAATGGCGTATACTACTAAACAGTAAAGTGTTACACTGCGAGCGCTATCAAGGTAAATAAAAAAAAAAAATTGACGAGACACCCACGGGAGCGCTTAAAATGTAAGGAAGCGACTCGGCCCACCGGAAATTGGCTGCTGCAGTTTGTCGCAGTGTAGCACGGCCCGGTACAAAGTCCGTCCCTGAGGTCGCATTCTCATTTTTCTCACATCCCTCGTGAGAGGAGGAGGAGGTGTCTGCCGGCCGAGTGATCCAATAGCGCGTCGCGCTCTCGACCCAAATAGACACATGCATCGTTGTCTTAGGCTCGGTGGCTTTTTTTCTCGGCATTGTTGATATTGTTACGTAGGTAGTGTGCCGGGGAGATTCCGAGGATCAATCGAGACAAATGCCGGGCACGTAGGGTGCGCATCGTCTTGCCGCTTATTCATCCCTTCCGTTGGGACCGAAAATTTAAATTTCAGTGATCTTAGGGAATCAATTTGGAAAAATAGATCACGCGTGGTGGCCTCGATTTTTTTTCCAAAGGTCTATTGAATTTGCAGGGTTTTTGTGTTGCACGCGAGGAGACTTTTTTTATTATTTTTTTTTTTTATTAAATATTAATGTAACAGTAAGACGCGTGCCACATTAACTCTCGTTCACCAAAAATACATATTTAAAAAATACAAGTTTACCGTTCAAAAATACAAGTTTACCGTTCTACACATCAAGGGGAGTGGAAAATGTAGAATATGCTATTCTACAACTGTAATTTTGTCTGGAGTTGCATTAAAACAAATATTCTGGAAGTTCAATGAATTTTTTAGAACACATAAAGTACTGTTGTAACTACAGCGTACTAGAGCTTATAGTTTTGGAAAATCGATGCATTTTTATTTCGCGCTTTCACAATTTTGTTTCTATGTTTTTAGAGATATATTGTTTTTTTTTTTAATCTCTTAGCTACTGTGATTTAAAAAAACAATTCAGCTGCCACGTGTCCTTAACTCAACGACTAAAAGTGTTTAGTTTAAATATTGTACAATAAATCAGTATGTGGTTCATATGTATTTGACAGCAAGTGACATCATCATTTTTGACAACAGCATCAAACTTTAAGTGAATGCAGTATTTAAACCGCACAATACCCAAGTGTTTTCTTTGGCTCGAGGTCGATCGATGGCAGAAGGCGCCAGACTTTGAGCCGCCTTTACGTCACGGATGCACGAGTAATTCCACATTCAAGTTAAAATTTCAGCCACTCAATAGACGAAAGCACTTTACGTTTTCTGAATTTCAGGCGAGACGAGCAAAAAAAGTTTTTTGATCTCATTTGCGTTTTTAATATTCAAGAAAGATAGTACACCCGATTTATTTTTTTTAGCAACGACACTAAAGATTTTAAAACATATAAGCATTGTTTGTTAAATTACTAATATTAATATAATGATGTACAAACAATATTTATACGATTTCACATAAATTTCCATAGGATATATGTATGTCCAATTAAATCTTAAAAGATACTTGTAATGTGATTGAAGCCTTTTTTATTCACTGTGAGATTAATTGGAACAAATCACGTGGTTTGAAAAAAAAGTTTTTATGAAATTCAGTTGCATTAGATTAGGGACGTAATTAAAATGAAATGAGCTTACGATATGAAAATGATGTGGACTTCTATTGTTTGATTTATTTGTCGTCTTAAAGGAAATAGATAAGTAAAAAGCTGTTTTTGATTAAAGTTAATAGAAAGTTAATAAGAAGTAACAAGAATGTATTAATAGTATACAATAAATAATAAGTACATAAGTAATCTACTTTTAATTTTATAATATCTCGAAGTCTCATATGTCACCTCTCACGTAACTAGTAATTTAAAAAATTTAACGTGATAACATATGCACGTGAGCATGTGCACACTTCTTTTTCCAGTATTTTCGACGAAAGCACGCTACGTGTATTGCAATAGACCTTGGAACTTTGTCGTCTTCGTGACTTTCGCGTGATAAATCAACTCGATTATTTGGGACTTTTAAGCCGATCACCTTGAACAGTGAACTGTTTCGTTCAGTTATATGATTTTTTTTTTTTTTTTTTTTTTTTAATATTCGCTTACATTATTATTAAATTCTAGTATTGAAAAAAAAAAGTAAAACAAGAATCACGTGGATGATAGGAAAAACAATCCTGAATATAATGAGAAGTTCAAGAAAATTTTACATTTATCCCAATAATAGCTAAATGTTGAGTAGTGTATCTCAGCCGAACCATAGACTTATGTATGGCGCACCTGATGTATCCCTTTATTTGAATTTTGTATCACTTGAAGTCAAAATGTTATGTAGTCATCGTGTACATATCCAAAAACATTTTTGTACCTTTGTAATGTACAAAGATTTATACATCAATAATTTTTAGATGTAAAAAATGAAAAAATAAAAACTAAGTATGTTGGTTCTGCATACTCCTAAAAGTGACATTTTTAAAAGTACGACAAGTTACGGAGCTGCTGGTAACGCTAGCTTAGCCTGCGTTTCCTACACTGGGTGTACCCACGCAATAAATTTTTATTAGTATTGACGTGAAACACGTAGTAAAAGAAAAATAGTCAACGATATTTTAAAAAGGTTCTGACATGAAGTGATTTAATGTGATGCTTTAAGTGGTTGCAGCATAGAATAGCGCAGTTTTTGTGAAATGACCCATATTTATACTTACAATTTGAGAACGTTGAAAAACAGTTACAATAGGCTGTGATTGCCGTCAAGCTGCACCATATTTTCTTATATTCCTCCGAACTATAAAATCTGCCTACTCTTCCATCACATCGGCTCTCAAGGACACCATCAAAGTCCATCCCTGAAATTGGTTTTCATTGTCCACGCCTCCAAAGGTTCGTAGGTACATCTTAAACCAAAAGTACGGACTCCTTTCGACTTTCACTTGGTCATTGAACTCCGGTATTAATTTTGGAAAATTTCCACCCAATATATCTTCCGTTTAGGCATCATTCGCTTTAATCTTGGCGTAAAATGAGAAAGATTTCTACAAGTCATGAATTTTCTCCGTTATAATGAATGTCATATTATCATACCGGTATGAAAATCGGATTATTGGATGTGGAGATCACAATCATCACTTGCCAAGTACAATGTCACTAAAAACTGCTTGATCTCATGTATCGTGTTTTTGTTGTATTACTAATACAAAAAAATAGACCAAACATCTCCGAATATACTAATACATGTTTTGCTCTCATGCCTTTTGTTCTACCGTCGAGTAAAGCAATTGAAATAAAAAAAATTATCCAACTCGTTCGTCAAATTTCCGAGCTACGTGCGTTGAATGACGATGAAATAACACGCAAACGACGTCAACAGGAACAGCAACAGTGGCGATGTCATTGTACCGACTAGGATTTCCCCTAGTGGGCGTGGCCCCGTCGATGAGACACGTGCAGCCCCGGGGCGCCTGCCCGGAAAGGTATATGGAGAGGCCTAAAAACAAAAAGATCAAGAAAGGAAGAGGAAACATTAGGATGTATAGCGCGCAGGAAGAAACAAAACAAGCATGGCGCGTCAAGCGGGAATCACGCGTTAGGAATGCGAGGACCACGTGGCGAACGTGTGAGCCACTCACCATAATGAGGGTGACTTCCATGGGAATTTCAAGAGCCATACTTTTTTTTTTTTTCTTATTTATTTATTTTCCTTTTTTATTTGAAGAAGGGGTGGTCAACACATGTGCGTAATCAGCTAACGCTGTTTCTCCCAAAAAGAGATTATACTGTTTACTTTCTGGTGGTCATTGACGTCATTGTTCCGTACGACGACCACATGAGGTACTTTCCCTTTCTTCTTGATTCCACTTTTCCTCTGTCTTCTTCCCTTCGTGTCCACGTGCGTGTACGAAGGTACTTAACTATATGTATTTGCTTTCGTTTTCATTCCACCGTTGTAGTGACACACAAATATATGTATTATATTTGCATTGACACCAATAAAAAATTCATTTTTTTTCCTTCTTAGTATTGATCGCTTTTTTTCCTATTTAGTAAATACAGATTTAATATGGATGCAGCTTCATCTCAAATAAATTGTTATTTGAAGACTATTCGAAAGGGTTGTGTGCTCCGATCTTGGAAATACAATTTGTTTATTTAAGTATCAACTATAGTCGTAAGGGATCAGATTTAAAGGCAATCTGAAAAATTAATTGCAAAATATGTTTACAGTGAATATTTCCGAAATGTATATCCTACTATATTTTATATCCACGCATGAAATAAGGGTGAGGATTCCACATTCATCATACTGATTCTACCCTCGGTCATAAGCATGTGCATACACTCATCCGCAAAATATTTGCCCCTATGCGTCACTCCATGCCAGAACAGCATCAAATGTCCAATCTCATCGAGTCATTACTCGCTACACAAATACACAAACTGCACACTTACGCCAATACCTGAGATCCCCATCCCCCCATCCGATTTCCAATTATCTTCCGTTTTTTCCCTCCTCTCTTCTTCGCCTCGGGTGCGTCTGCTGCTCACGGCGCTTTCACTTTCCATATACCTATCTACCTACCTTATACGCTGTACCTATTACCTTCTTCTTCTTCTTCTGCCTCCACGGAGGGAGTCCCGTTTCTTCCTCTCTCTTATTCTACTTCTCTCCAATTCGCAAGACTGGGAAGTACAAGCTGTGATAGCACTGTACACTCGCGTCTAGCCTTGGCTTACTCATCCGAACCAACCTTTCTCCTCTCTCACTCTCACTTTCTGCCTCTCCTCCTTTCTGCCGCTGGTGCTGTTCTCCCGACAAAGTCTCCTGTTCGGGGACTTTGGGGTCGTCGAACCTCGTCGGACTTGCGCGAAGAGGCTGCACACACGACACGGCTACAACTTTCTCATTCTATAGGCAGAATTGTGTCCGTCCCGGGGGAAAAATCATCTTCCGAATTTATAGGCCCTCCAGGACGTGGGCACTGCGTTGGATACAAAGAGATTTTTTCTTTGAAAAAAAAAAATGGTACCGTACCTTTGAGAATTATGATTGTTGAACTGGAAATCTCACTATTTATCCAAAGAATCTGGTGAAGTGTAATAGCTGATGTCGCTGACTCGAATGATGAATTGAATTGCTACGGTGAGTATTAGTGTTCCAAAAACTTGTGACTCTCTAGCTGTGCCATTTTTTTGGTTCACCTACTTACATATTTAGTTTTTTTTTTTTTTTTTCTCAAACAAAACCTTTTTTGGATTGTTAGACACAAGGATCTTGCAAGTACAGACACAAGGCACGAGATATGAGACACAAGGTGGTCGTAGCACTGCGTCGCAGGGCTGTTTCCTTCTTCCTGCTGTTTTGAACAGAAAGGGAAGCACGCAGTATTCCAAGTATTTTTACTCGGAATTAGGAATTAAAAATTAAGTAATTACTCATTGTTATAATTGACAATGTTAGTAATCAACCGCTTACATTTATAAATGATTCCTGACTATTACGTTATCAACCATAGGAATTCAAATAAATGGTGACAGGCTATTCAAATAGGTCAAATAGAAGTAAGGTAAATTAGTGATTTTTTACGTGTACAGATTTAAAGAGTGCGAATTAGGTAGTACTAGGTAGATTGTATATTAGAAATATCAGTTATACTTTTCACATTCCATTGTTTTTGTCTCAGGAGATAAAGACAATAGATGATTAATGGAAGTAATACGCACCCCACAACTAACTCTACCGAGAAGATGGGAAGCCTGTTTTTCTCGTAAATTTAAGTGACTTTTATTTATTTTCATCTTATTGATCACTCCATTCGTTTGACCTGAACAAACAGTTTCCCTTTGTAAAAATAACCGCTGGCAGGTCGTTAAAAAAACCCCTTACATCCACGTTTCATTGTAACCCTGTCAAAGTTAGGAGTCCATTTACTTTAGTCTCACGAAAAATAGGGGATTCTCAGGAGTCGATCCTTTGTGGACATTGACCTTTGCCTCCGACTGTTCACTACATTGTGTGTTTGAAATATCGGCTTGTAACGGGTTGTCGTAAGGTTGTAAAAATGTCAAAAATATCCACTAATGCTGATTTCTGCCAGCTACTTCTGAGTTAAGCTATTTTATAATAATTTTTCTATTATTTAAATAAATAAGGATTAATATTATATCAAACTTGGTGTATTAGCGTTACTTAAAGTAGTTGTATTCCAACTACACTAGTTAAACGAGCACTTGGGATACAGAGACTAAAAACTATCTACCAAACTGTGATGTAATAACTGTGAATGTTGTAAAGGTTAAAGTACTTTAAACATTAGTGTATTCATTTTTGTCAACTCACTTTTAATAAAAGTTGTTAGTCAACTTACTTTATTAGATTTTGATTGTTTTGATTTAGGATAGAATAACATGAAAATAATCATAATATAGTTAAGTCCTCTACTTAAGGAATTGTCATCTAGACAATAATATTAAATTGGCAAACTAACGAGTAAAGAATCTAGAAGTAATTTTTAGTCACGGAAAACAATGGATATTTAAGATGTTTTACAAATATTTCTAATGATAAATTCTAATGAAACTTGTTTTTCACAATAAGAAACTACTAATTTTTGGCACTAACATTAATTAATTCAATTTTTTTTAACGGATTGGTACGCCCTCTGATTTTTAATTTTTTTCAACCAAACAATACTCAAAACATCAAACCATCCGCATGTTAATATTCATGTTACTTTTAAAATTTTATTCTATTTTAACAACAAATTCACTAACACTGACTTGTTTCTAAAGACATGCCATTGCCACCGGGATTATTTTGCGGCCCGAGGGACCCATAAAGAAGCGCTCGAGGGACCGTAGGGTAACCCCAGTGGCGATGGCGCTTCTGTGACGAAAACTGCTATTTCTGAGTGATTATTACTTTCATTTTTTACGATGTATGCCACACACGTGTTTTTTAGATTTGGAAATATAACTATACTGTACTTGAGTTCATTTTTCTTCAAAGAGTTTTTTTTTATCTCTGTGGGTGCGTATTCTTGTCTAGTGGATTTTTTCTAAAGTGAAAATAGCACTTTTGCTGACATAACATTATTTTTAATGACTCAACTCAATTTTAATTTAGCGTTTGCAGAATTTTATAAAAAAAATTTTTTTTTTTTCTTTGAAATTTTTAAAAGCTTTTNATTATATAAATTAAAAAAAATGGCCGGGGTATGCTTAGGGTCAGGCCAACTTAATTTTATGAGTTACGAAACTCAATACATTTTTAGCTCCGTGCTATGTATATAGTAATGTATTGAACAGTCACGTGATGTTTTTCTGCTTTTCTATAGGTTTTCCTTTCAGATTTGAAGAACTGGGACTTTTGGGAAAAAGATTATCGCTGAAGACTCACAGAAGGAACTCCCCGACATTTCTCCTTCATTGTGCAGCTGTCAGTCTTTAGCTCTTATTTACCTAGATCGTGAAATATGGAGGGGCTTGGGTCGTGACTTTGGTCATTGACCTTTACCTTGAAAACTTTTCGACTATACATATATAATATGGATGTTGAAAATAAAAATTAAAATAATAATTTACAATCAATAGTGAAAGTAATTTTGTTTTATATTGTATGAATCTAAAAAAGACCTTAAATTAAAAAAAAAATAAGACATCGTTTGGTGCACCTTTGGTAAGAAAGCAAATGTTCACATCTATGGCACATCTGGCCAAAGCAATGACAAAGGACCCTCGATCCCTGTTTTGCACGACCTTCCAACAATTGTACTGCCCTGGTAAACATGCGCCGTCAGTGCGAAAATAAGTTGTTTTTTTTCGACTAAAGACCCCAGCAGAGACTGCATTTTAAATAAATAAATTTTTTTAAGTAAAAAAAAAAAAAACTTTTGATTTAAACAAAATTTTGATAGTTATTACCGAACCAAAGTACTCTTGGTCCGAAAATGGATTTATCAAAAAAATTCAATACTATTGCATAACACAGACAATGGGGGCGGTATAATTTTGAAATAATTTCTCAATACCTTAAAAATTTTTCTTGAACGTTTTAGTGTTCAGAATGTACCTGAGTCAAAAAGGATTAGATATAAGTATGTACTTGCGCATCAGCTTTGCGAGACAAAAAAGTACACTCGAAGAATATTCGGCAAAAGTCCAGATTCTCAGAAGAAGCATCGAGACAGGAAGTGTCCTTTACAGTCATGTGCACATATTATTCTTTTTTTTCCGAAACTTTCTTACGTGAGACCCGCCACCGCGACCTAAGGCGACAAAGAAGATTACGGTAACGCGTGGTCAACGCATCTCTTCCTCCCTTGGTCAACAATTCCCGGAATAATTGCGTCGCAGTTTCTTTTGACGGATTTTCCGATTATTAACGAGCTCCTCGTCTCTTTTGCTCTCTCTCTTTCTCTCTCTCTGGCACTCTTTTACTTACTTTTCGTATACAAGAGAGCTGACTTGATGGTATTGTGTGTCGGGGGCCAGAGTGGAAATAAAGCCAAAGTTTTCGAGTTGTTTTCGAGCGGTTGGAGGAAATAAAGGTTGTTTTTCTCGTTGTCGGAATAGTCCTCAAAGGACAAAAAAAATCTTGGCAGATGATGCTACATCTTTTAGGGCGTGAGATAAATAGAAGTTTAGGAGAAGGTCGTTTGCACTCGTATTTTACTCGTGTACACATCTTCTGAAAAGTTTGAACGCTTTCAGTTCTTTTTATTATGGAAAATTCCTGAATGTATGACTTTTTACTTCTACTTTCGATGGAACGTCTAGAAAACTAATTGTAGGACCTTTTTTTTCTACGAAAGAATACATGGTGCTTGAATGAAAAATTATTGAAAAATCAATCAAGTTTCTATCATTCCACTTCATGAAGAGTAAATATAAGCGTATCAATATTTTAATCTCATGTACCACCTAGTTGTGTTCAATTAAGTATAATCGTAATATGAACCACTTTTTATAAAAAAAATTTATCAGATGTTTTAAATTGTTAAATTAATAAAACTAAAACTTGAATCGTTATACATTATTATTGAAATATCGGCTTGTAACGGGGTGTCGTAAGGGTGTAAAAATGTCAAAAATATCCACTAATGCTGATTTCTGCCAGCTACTTCTGAGTTAAGCTATTTTATAATAATTTTTCTATTATTTAAATAAATAAGGATTAATATTATATCAAACTTGGTGTATTAGCGTTACTTAAAGTAGTTGTATTCCAACTACACTAGTTAAACGAGCACTTGGGATACAGAGACTAAAAACTATCTACCAAACTGTGANGCAAATTTTACTTTTTTTCTTTTGACATATAGTAATAATATTTTTAAAAAGATCCTGATCTTAACTTGGTGGTTAATAAAAATAATTATTCAGTAAAATAAAGTAATAATCATAACATTTGAGTTTTTACCAAAACAATTTTTTATAACTTTGAATTCAAACATTTTTCGACTCAGTTTGTGTCATGTGGAATATCTTTTTAAGAATATTTTTGGATTAACTACATATTTACATCTAATTCCAGTAAAAAAAATCCGTAATAATAAGTTAATTTAAAAGCAATTGCAATTTATATATTTTGCCACATTATTTTTCAATTAAAGTTTAAAAGGCGATCTTTTTGACAAATAATGATCATTCACATGAATCTTTTAAAATCTTCAAAAGTACTAAATTTTTTGCGTGGGTTTAAAAACTGATAAGCATATGAAATTCTCGCACAGTAGGCAAGTAAAATGTAGATTGTACTGTGGACTCTGGCTTTCATAGGTGCTCCAAGTATTGTAAATGCTGCACCCGATGACATGTTAATAACTAAATTTGAGTGGTCGTTTGTCGACTACACGTGGAGATCTGAAGATCATAAGAAACAGTACACAGAAAATGGTGACTACGATTTAACAAAAATAATTCTCATTGACGTCGATCATGCACCGGGTGAGTTACTTTGTTAAATCTTAAAATATATCTTCGTAAATTAATATGTTTCAATCATCAGTTAAAATATGTCTGAAAAATCGATTGACAGTAGATAAAAACGTGTAAAAATAAAAAAAAAAATTGTAGACGGACGAACTTTCGTGACGGCTGAAAAGAATAAAGGTGTTCCGGTAACTTTAGCCACCATATCACAGGTGATGGGAAAAGGTGGACCTCTTCTTACGCCCTATCCAAACTGGGATTACTATGAACAAAAAGACATATGTCAAGGCATTATCAATGTGTACAGAATTACCGTAAGAATTGTTATTAAGAAAAATTTTTGTTTTTTGTGCGATGATTACTAAGAATGTAATGTTGATATGAAATTGAACTGTTCGCATAAAATTAGAGTAAAATATTTTTAATCATTTTAAAGATACGAAATTTCGGGTACAGTTGATCGTAAAATTATTAAAAAAAATGCTTTTAACTCCTTAAAACTTTCGCCGTATTTATATTCACACGAATTGTATTGAATGTTTCTAGAGATACAAATATTATTTTCTGCAAACTATANAATTAAAAAAAATGTATTGAAGAGCAAACTACAGAGATATTTTCTGTTGGAGTTATGTGTTTTTCTAACTTTAAAGATTACGTTATGATCACTGCAGGACTGTCAACAGTCTTGTCTTCATTCCATTTGTGATTACACGACATATAATCATATTACGGATTTTTATGGGTGACTCTGATATTGCAAGTAATAATTGTGTTGTTCAATAGATTGATACCTGCAACAGATTGTGGGTGCTAGATAATGGATGGATTGGCCAGAACCATACGTGTCCAGCCAAATTATTAGCATTTAATCTTAGAACGGATCATGAAGTCGTTAGACACATTTTTGATGACGATGTGGCCAGAGGTAAAAATGGAGTTAGTTTACTAGTGACACCGATAATCGAAACAAATCGCCGTTGTTACAGTGTTACGGTAATAAATCCCAATATAGTAAACTGATTACCAATTACGAAAACAAAATGTCAAATTAAATTTTACAACTATTGTACCTTTCTATAGGTGTACATAGCTGATGCTTTAGGACATGGATTGGTAATTTTCAAAAACGGTACCACAATTCGATTGGAAGGTGACGTTTACGCTCCTGAGGAAGGAAACACAAAAGCCTCTATAGCTGGAGATGTGCTCAGTTTAGCGGGTGGAGTGACAGGAATGGCTCTGTCACCGAGAAAAGATAAAAAGCGTACCTTGTTTTTTCGACCTTTATCTTCTTTGTCCATTTACGCGGCTGATACGAAAGAATTAAAAAATAGCTTCTGTGGCGGTACGGTAAATTACACGAGGGGTACCAATATTTTGCCGAGCCCGGCAACAGCCATGGCATTTAGTCCATACAATGGTGTGTTGTTTTACGGGCTCCCCAACCAAACTTCAATCGGTTGCTACAACATGAAGAATACTCTGGAGCCGAAAAATCTCGTGAGTATTGAAACATTTTTCGACATCGATGTCATTCCGAAAATCCAAGCGTTACAAAGGTTCCGGCTAAAACAAATGTTAGATAACGCTAAAAAAATTTTTGTTTTTTCTTTAAGGACACTACATGCATACGTATGAATTTTTTTATTGAACTGTACTCAAACTACTTTTTAAATAAATCAAAATTGAGAAAAAAATTCCTACTAGTTAAAAGGATTTTATTAAAATGAGCTGTCTTTAAAAAAAAAAAAAATAAATCAACAGGAAAAAAAATCACACGTAAAATCTACAAAAAAATTTAAATTTAATAAAATGCTATCAGTGACCTACATAAAAGTCTATGTTAAACTGGGAAATTAAATGATTTTTTTTCTCGAAAATACGTCTGGAAAAAATTTTTAAAAAATTTTTACGTACATATTACGTTCTTAAGAAGAACATAATTTTTTTAGCGTTGCATAACATTTTTTATTATTTTTTGCCGGAACCTCCTGAAGAAAATAAGATGATCCAAGGTTTAATTTTCAGGGAATTGTGTTAACCGACACCAAGAGACTTCCATTCGTCAGTGGGATGAAAGTTAAAAGAAGACGAAGAAATCTACCAAAAAGTGATTACTTGTTAATGATGACCAATAGATATAAAAAATTTGCTTCCGGAACCATGAATTTCAAAAAAATTAATTTCCACGTCGTAGTAGCTCATGTTTATGGACTTATACGGAATACATCGTGTCTTGTCAACGTATAGGTTCATTGGAACTGAGAATTTGTAATATTATTATCTGCGAACTTAAATAATAAGTGTTTGGTTGTAATATTACACATTGGTATTATCTGGATGTATAACGTATGAGATAAAAAATAATAAGTAACTTCATATAACTTTTTTTTTCATTGCTTTTGGCACATTATCGACACTGAATCCTATAAATATACACCAAAGTCATGTGACTGATTGTCTTTCACTGTTATCTATAGAAAAAAAAAAATTGCATTCTTGATAACGTAACTGCGTGGCCTACAAATAACTAACAGGCAATATATTATACTGTGGTGTTTTTATCTCCGTTAAGAGCTACACATTCGTAGTGTTACGTTCGCAAAAAAAAGTACTCCAAAAATCGAAACGGGATAAGGTAAAGTTGCGTGAGATCGTGTGTAGCATGAGAAGAAACGGAAACGCCCGTGTGATAAAAGCCGGTCAGCCGTGCTTGCCTATCTCAAAAGCGTAGTTGGGAATCGGGTTTTCTCGGAAACGCGAAACGCTCCTTCCTCTCTGCTCCGTTGATCGCGTAACGCACTTTAGTGCAGAGCTATACGAATGCAGGCCCCGAGCGTGTATTGTCTGTCGCCGATCTAGCAGATGTTTCGTCAGCATATGTATGCGATACGCCACTGCGTGAATTGTCTCTTGAGCAATTCACGTGATATCGCTGAGAATTTGAATCTGAGTTTTTTGAAATTTTTCATAACTGGTTCGAGAATCATGGGATATTTAGCTTGGAGAAGCTCTGTGGCCTTGGAAACAATCAGAGAAAGTTTAAGTAGGTCTGCTGTTATCAACTACCGTTTTGTTGATTAAACGAAATTTTACTTTATATTCATAAACGATAAAAAAGCTGCGTTTTGATAGAAATTTTTTTTCTCAACTGTGAATTTATTCATACCTATCTATGTATTGATTTTTTATTTTTTTCATGTTGAATAAATTAAATATAATTCAGGGTATTATTAAAAGTGGTGGGTACATTCGGTTACAAGAGGCATACATTTTTAATGATTAAGTAGTAAGATATTGAACCTATTTTTTTTCTTTTTTATAGTAATACTATTAGTCACCGATTGTTAAAAGACAACCATCGATGATAATTTAAAAGCTCCCGATAGTCAAACACATTTCGAAGATGAACAACCCAAGATGTTTTTAGAATTTTTAATAGATGCTTCATACAAATTAAATATACTAATGAGATTTTAAGATACTGCTTAGAAAATAAAACATGGAATTTGACTTTCTCAAAGAGAAAGGTTTGTAACGGTGAACACTTTAAAATTATACTGTTTTTGTTTTTTTGTTTTTTTTTTTTTTTTTGGTGACTATCGAATTCCGTTTTCACGACAAGTTCTTAACGGTTACGAACAAAGTATAGTTGGCTTGATGGGCTGGATTTTATAATGTATTTATCAAATGCGGTAATTTGACTATTAATTTTCATAAATTTTTTGCCTACTTCCGGGGCTTTATGATGACATGTTCCTAAAAATTTTTTTATTTTGTTTTTATTTTGTGTATTATTCGATTTGAAACTTTTGTCTATTGTTAGTCCACAGTATATTTATAATTTTGAAGTTAACGCATCGTTAACCATACTTTATTTTCATAAATAGCGCTACTTGTCTTACCATCATTAGCTGCATGATGCAGTTTAGATCTTCTTGCATCTGGTGTCGAACAATATTCCCATATGCAACTCCCTGGAAATCGCCCATTTGGTACATGGTTGCGTAATATAACATCTTAGTATTATAATTTACTTACTCCTTAAAATATTCATTGTTTTTGGTATTTTTCAGGAAATAATTCTCATCATAAACTAGTATAGATACGTCGTTAAGTTACTGACAAAATTATTTAAGTACAGCAGGCTCAGATTTTTTGGGTCATTATTTAAATTTTACCCCTCATTGTACTGCAACAAGAATTATTTTAAGAGCAGAGTGGCCCTAAATTTTAATTACTTTCTGAGAACCCTCAGTCACAAACGCAAAGGGAAATCAGAATTTGAATACAAGAACAAATCGCCTCCGTCGTTCATAATTTAAAACTATTTTCCTTACGAAAACATGAGTTTTTTCTCAAAGGAAGTTCCTCGCCCTTGAGCCCGTACCTCATGATAAATTATCGAGTCCAAGTATATTGTACTTGGGGTCATAGAACCCGTAATGAATAGAACCCCAACAGCCAAATGGAACACAAATCATGAATATATATATATATATATATTCAACACCCTTTTCCGTGAAAAAAAAAAAAATAATAANTAAATAAAAAAAGAAAAAGAAAAAGAAAAGAAAAAAGGAAAAAAAAAACCGTTGATCCAGTCGCTTGGACCATTTGTACCATTCGCTTCGTATACCACTAAGAGCAGATGAGTAAAAAAAAAAAAAAAACAACATAAAAGGGGCGGGGGAAGAAGAATCCAAACAAATGTCTCACGTCGTCGTCCACCGAGTTGATGCTCGGCCTGTGTATCGTTTCCTGTACGCTGAGGTCCTGCGCTTGGTCGTCCTGAGCTTTCTCGGCGTCCTCCGCTTCGTTGGGGTAGGGCCTCGGCCTCTGGTGGTGGGGCCTCTGGTTTTTACTGGAGGAGCCCTGCTGTGGTGGTGGCTGGCCACTCTTATTGGGCAACCTGACGAGGAGCGTGTTGTGCGGCGAGCTGGGCACCTTGTCCTTGAAATTCTGATGGTGCAGGTGATGGTGGTGGTGATGGTGGTGGGTACCGTGGTGCCGATCCTCCTCGGGCCGTTTTTCCAAGTAATTCGAGCTTATGGAGTTTTGGGGTCGGTTACGCGTCGCGTTGGGTTTTTGCTGCTGCTGCTGCTGCTGCTGCTGGTGGTAGTTGATGGGCTCGTTTGGGCTCGCTTGTGGCTTCGAGTGCGGCCTTTTTTGGGGCTGGGGTCGCGGGGCTTCGGATAACGGCGACGACGATGGCCTCGACGGCTGCCTCGTTGTCGACACTGACGTGTATCCTGTTTTAAAACACGACAATCTATATATTGAAACAGATCGTTTGAGGACTTTAAGCCATGGGGGGTATTGGCATACGATCTTTTTTTTTTTTTTTTTTACGTATTCGTAATACACAAAATACACTTTGCAACGGACGAAAAGTCAGGTGTCTGTTGTAAGTAGTCATTTTCATAAGTGCTGTATAGTTTCCATCAAAACTCAATATTTGTCTATAAGTTTTACCTTTTTAGGGTCACGTAAGATTTTATTTTATTATTGATTTTCTAAGACTCAGTTGTTTACTTTCCAAAAAACTAAGTAAAACATTAAGCAAGCAAGTGCCTAAAGTACAGAATAAATGTTTGGAGCTTCAAGGCTAACTGTTTTAACGGTTGCTTGAAAATTAAATGACTACCTTTTTCAGAAAAAAAGGATCTTAATCTTCATTGAACCTATCAATCCTAAATAAAAAAAAAAAAAAAAACAGTGTCTAGTATTCTTTGGTGATCTACCTGACAGACCCAACGGATGTTTTTTTTCTCCCCAAATCCTCTCACGATGAGGGTCCAACAAATTCCGTTAAAAATAAGGGAAAATAAAATTACCGTGTGATCCGGCTTGGGAAGCCGCAAAGTGACTAGTAGATACAGGCCTGCTGGGCCGATGCGTCGTCGTCGATTTTTCCAGCGCCTCCGCCAGGGATGGCCCGGACCCCACGGCACTGCTCGATATACTGTTTGTGGTCGTATTGTGCACGCAACAGCTACCGAACATGAAGGTATCGACGCACAGGCCCACGTGAGTACCCTCGGACTTTATGCACTCCAGGACGAACATGCAGGTGCCCTCGATCGTCTTCGACTGGCCCGGCACCTGGCACGGCTTCGGACTGATTTTGTAGCCTGCGTATTGACCAAAAATTAAAAAAAAAAAAAAAAAAACCTCCCGTCAATAACAATCGTATCGTAACTCAAGTTCACGCGCGCGTATTTTACTCACTGCAGTGCACGCAGAGATGGATATGTATATCCGCTATACCCGGTATTCCGTCGAATCGATCGGTTGGAAAGTTGCGCGTGTTCCCGAAGTGAAATGTATATATATATTCAACACCCTTTTCCGTGAAAAAAAAAAAAATAATAACAAACAAGGTCGTTCCGTGTCTTTTTTTTTCATAAATCATCTAAAACGAAGAAGATCCAAGGGTAAGTGCACAGGTGCATTATGTATTTAGGGAAAGCAGGAGGAAAAAGGGAGTCAGGTATATCTGGGGCCAGTCCTTCCTGGAAACATTTGCGAGATTGAAACCGAAAATATTAGAGAGAAAGTGATGGTTTGAGAGCTTCATGCCTCCAGTGGATCATTGTCGGCTTACGCGTGGTAGGTCGCAATATTATTTTCTCGGAAATTCATGTTGTTTTCGTCTTTTTTTTTTGCCCACCGAAACCTGACCTCACATAACAACACACTGCACCGCACATCCACGTGCAACGAGCCCAAAGTGAGGTTAGTCCGGCTTATTTCCAGCAAGATGGTCTTTCACGTCGCCGACGATAAACCTCGTATTGTCGAGTTGTGCCATATTGATGGGAACAACACGTGGGTTTCCGGGTATGGATTTACTGTTGCGTGGAAATAGTAGCCGATTTTTGGCGCAACTTTAGTTCCAATCTCTAGTGAAGAACAGCTATGTTTCGACTATTACTAACAGCAATAAAAAACATATAATGAAAAAACATGTAATAAAAATAAAAAAACACAGTTAATATTTAAAAAATTATTTACATGTGAATCATGTCAGAGTTTTTATCATGGAAATTTTTATAAATGATGATGTATCATGGTTATTGCGAAAAAGTGTCAATTTTAGTTTGTATTTTCAGTTGAAAACTTATTTTTTCCGTTTGAATTTTGAAAATGGGTAAAACTATAAACATAATACACGTTGTGCGTGAAATTAAAATTTAAAAAAATCTTTCAAGAGGCTATAGTATTCAGATAAATCATCTCAGAATGAA